GAGAATTAGAGCCTAAAGACATCAATGATTCTCCAGCTGACGACTCCATCTCTTCCTCCTCTTGTCTTTTGTTTGTCCACCTGCTCCGCTCTCATCTTCGTCTTCTGTTGCTGCCGTCTTTTTCCTGCTGCTTCCGTCACATCGATCATATAAGAACGACTTTACACCACAAGAGCTCACAACTTAAAGTACACTTGAGGGAAAACATCTGCCTTCTCGTATTTTAAAATAAAAGGCAGTTTGAGGTACAGGTGACTTACTTACTGTGTAACAATTACAACAATTGAACTAATAATAATACATTTTAATATGGAAGTGCTTTTTAAAAATCTAGATAATAGAGAGAAATATTTACACAGAAATAAACAATATCACAATTTCGACAGGCATGGTTCGATAAAGTGGTTCGATAACTCACCAAACTAACTCAACGTGTGGGTTGGAAGAGGAAAACACTTGTGGAACGGTCATGAGGTCATGGAGTCATCCCCTGAGACATGAACGGCCACCGTTAATTTAATGGAAATCTAGCCAGCAGTTTTCTGAGTGTTGGTCAAAGGGGGAAAATGTTCCCCTGAATAAATGACTCAGAGTAGAACCGACATTGAACTGCTTTCCGCAGTCATTTAACTAGTAGATAAGAAAATGGAGATTGCCGTTTTAGTCGTTACCGCAAAACTTCACCTCAGTGAGTCTGCGACTTGCCGTGAGTCTGTTTAGTTTATACGGAAGTGAGCCCGCTGCAACGGGTGCAATAACAACGGTACACATAAAGATGGCCGCCTCTCTGACCATTCATCTACGTTGATTTGAATGGAATGTCTCTTCCGTTCTAGTCCTTTCTTTATTTCTATGGTCTGAGTGCAGCCCAAAACATCAGGATTCATCCTCTGGGGACTATGAATGTCAGGATGTTTTACTCCAGATTTAGTTTCACTCAGAATAATGTTGTTTTTGCTTTTCATTAACAAAGACCACCCCTCCAAAATAAGAGTATCCCTTGGTATAAATGGCGGTGCTCACATGCATCTGCTTCCATGAGCTACTGCACCACCTGTCTCGCTTTAGGGGAAACAGGTTCAACGCATATAAAATATCTGATCTTGAACTTTCTCCCTGGGTGCAGGTTCACATCGGTTACCTCCCCAATAAGAGAGTTCTGGGCCTCAGCAAGCTGGCCAGGTGAGTAAATGTACTCTCAATTATGTGCATGTGTGAGAGAGAGTGAGAGCTAGTGTGTGATTAAGCAGATTATTAAACTGTGTGTGTGTGTGTGTGTGTGTGTGTGTGTGTGTGTGTGTGTACTAGCGTAGAATCTGATCCCACTGACCCCAATACCTCCAGGCTTATTGCACTAACACCCCTTACTATCCCGGTACTGAACATGCTGACTCACATTGCGATTGGAACTAAAAGCTCTGTCCTGGTCGAGCTGAGAGAAAGCAAAGAAATATTACAGAGATGTAAGAATGTTTCAAAGGAAAATCTGGTTTCATACCACTTTGGTCTTATTTCCATAGTTTTTTGGGCTGAGATCTGGCGACATGGCAGAAGGAAAACAGTAAAATTATCACCCAAACCATCTGTTGTAAACATCCATCACACTTTACAGACTGACCTCCTGGTTCACATCTGAACTACCCTTTGCTAAGTCCCGCCCCTCGAACGCAGTCGGGCCAATCATAGCGTAGCATCATTCCAGCTCTGACCAGGGTCCAAAAACTATGCGTCTCTGCTCCACAGACTCATCAATGGTTTCAGATGTTCTTCATGTTCAGGCTGGTTTGGTGGATTTGCAGCTCTTCGTGGTTAAACGTTGTGTAATAGTGATACTCGTTACTCGGAGAGGTTGGGAGGAGATACACATTTATAAAACGTTATGTTTCCACCAGGCGGCAACCTCCGGTTCTGCCGAGTGAAGCGAATGAGGAAGTGTCTTAAAGCTGCATTCTCTCTAGTGTCCACCAGGG